TATATAAAAATGTAGTATATATACAATAGATATTTTATATTTTATCAAAATGTATCAAAATATAATTTTAAATTATAATTCAAAATGTATCAAAATATAATTTCTTATAAACTATTGATTTGTTCCTATTTTTTGAAAATTCTATTTTAATACTTTAATATGTAAAGTAATTAGAAGAATTATAATATATATATAAAAAATCATATAATTTAAAAAAATGATTATAATTTTCATATGACTTTGAAAAATCGAAAATGAATTTACTATTATTTGTCTTCTTTTAGATTATACAATTTTTGTTTGAAATCTTTTTCCTGAAAATGCTTATTTTTCGAGATATTCGATTGCATCACATAAAATGAAAAATCTTATATGTATGATAGGGATAAAGCGTCGCGACTTTTGGCGCTACTTCACCACTTTACGATCTAAATAATAACAATCTGAGAGAAGATACTGGTAAAAATATACAGAATGTTCCGAAATTCGCGAATCAAAATATCATAGTACAAAAGTTTTTGAAAAATTAAGTAAAAAAGTAATTTATAAATTTTTAATTTAAGCAGTAGTTTTTAAGATATAACAGTTTAAAAGCTAATTATAGATTACGATTAAACGGAAACATATCCGTGAGCACATCGATAGTGTTAGTGATCGCGCACTTCACGCAAGTATTAATCTACAATTGGCTAAATTTAAACTTTTATATCTCAAAAACTATTGCTTAAAATAAAAATTTACAAATAAATTTTTTATTTATTTTTGCGAAGACTTTGTTGCTATGATATTTTGATTCGCGAATTTCGAGAAACCCTGTATATGTATATGTGTATGTGTGCGTGCGTGCGTGCGTGCGTGCGTGCGTGCGTGCGTGCGTGCGTGCGTGCGTGCGTGCGTGCGTGCGTGCGTGCGTGTGTGCACAATATACCTAACATATATAAACACACAAATCTACACATACCGAGTGAGCCAACAAAAACATTTCTTATTTTTTTGTAATTGATTGATTTATGGTGAGATATGTTGTAACATCACATTTCAAATAATAAGTATCAAGAGACCGAATGTTAACTAACAATTGAGAACTTCAAACGCCAACACGGTTCAAAGCAGATCATGGTTTCGATTCATATAACACCACGTGGCCGCAAATCGCGTGTTTCTCCGCAGCTCCGAATCGAGTACTATGTAATATCACAATTAAATTGCCGAACGCAATCTAATAAATCGATGCTCAAAGCATCTATTTAACTTCCTACTTGATGCTCACTTGCATCTAATAAATCCCCCCCCCCCTCGCGATGTCATTTAAATGCTAACTTGCATCTATTGAGCGAACGTATTATCAAAGTGACGTATAAATAATAATAAGTATCTAGAGACCGTGGAATGTTAACACCACGGTCTCTGGATACTTATTATTATTTATACGTCGCCATGATAATATGTTCGTTCAAACATATATATATATATATATACATATATTTGAATTTACGCGGCTTGAAAACATGCTAAATTGTTTAATACGATAAATGTTATCACATGCCTTGGTGGTCTAAAGGCAGGACGCCCATCCCGCAAACGTGGAGATCCGGGTTCGATTCTTGGCTGAGAATATGAGGTAATATTTTTTCGCAATAAATTTCTTTATAGATTCAGTGAGAACGGTTCGTATAGATGTAAGTTAGCATTTATTTGACATTGCGAGAGAGGGGGGGTTTATTAGATGCAAGTGAGCATTAAGTAAGATTTAAATAGTTGCTTTGATCGATTTATTAGATTGCCTTCGGCAATTTAATTATGATATTACATATTATTTAGCTCGGAGCTGCGGAGAAGCACGCGATTTGCCACGTGGTGTATGAATCGAAAATTGTAAGATTCACACTAAAAATTATATGAAAGCACCAAGATCCGCTTTGTACTGTGTTGGCGTTTTAAGTACTCAATTGTTATATCACATTTTCTTTTTTAGAAGAATGTATGATTGCGATAAATTCAATCATATTGCTCTATTCTTTTTATTAGAATAGCTTTTCCTTCAAAAATCTTAAATGACAAGGCAAATGACACATTATTTTAATTCTTTTTAAAAAATTTTTTAATATTATTTTTTTAATTATAGTGAATGCTTCTCGAGGAATTACACTTGAAAGCCTTAGGTATAAAAAATGTGAAAATTTGTACGTAATTTAGAAAGAAAAATTTACTTTATTAAATGTGTAAAAAGTTCCTCCTCCACCAGTCCCTATATAATAATAAATTTCTGTTCAAAGATATTATGGATATTTTAAAACAATTCCGATATTCTATGGCACTCATTATCTTTTAACGTATATCTTGTATGAATTTGATATTATGGCATAAATTTTGTTTTAAATGTCCCTTAAAAATGCAATTAAAAATCAAACGACTTCATTAGAGTCACTCAGTTGGATTTCTTATCCAACAATTGTAAAAATACTTCAAAAATTCAAATTCAAAAATTGACTACTCGTTACATAATGTGAAGATGTTTTATCTTGAAAAGAATAAATTGTCTTCCGAATGATTCTCTTTCAATAATTTCCGTAACCATTAAATTGATGTAATTCTCCTATAATTAAAATATAATTTTTTGACACAATTAAATTGAGAAAAGGCCAACAAATGGTTGTAACAGGATCTTTGTTAATATTTCTGTGTGAATTTATGTACATATTCTAGTTCTACAAACTGCGCGTCGTTACTTTCGGTTTCGCAGTTCTCGCTTGAATCAGAACAGTAATATCACATTATTAAATTGATAATCAATTTGATAAGTACTGATACGGCAAATAAATTCCCCTCCCCCACGCGACATAAATGTGAGACTTCAAAATACTTTGAACACTAGTTTGAAATTCACGAGATTTCAAGTAATTGTTCAGTATTTTATATATTATATTTGTACATTGAGTTTCATGTTCTACAAGCGCTACTTTGATAGCTTTATTTCTATTGCTTTAGATGATATTTTTAGATGTTTCTAATCACTGTAGAAATAGCATTTTAAATTTGTTAAAAAAAGGAGGATTAGCAAATAAAGCCAAATTCTACCTCGCGTACTTTTAAAAATTTTGAAACCTTTGAAAACCCTTCCTTTGGTCTTAAGAAATACGAAAATAACCGTCATTTATCCGAGAAATAGTAGGAAAGTTGTGAGAATAACACAGTAAGCTATTAGCCTTTAATATTGATTTATACGTAGAAACCATAGTCTGCCCTATACCTTCCTCAAGTCGACCCTTCCTGACTGAAGCACGCGGTCTCCACTTTACACGACACTGGAGTACACCACCTGTCTCCAAATCTTTTTGTCCGCCCCCATCCTTACCACAGCGCACAGGGGAAAAAATGAAAATTTACTGTTCAAAAATCTTTACAGACCGTAATTCTTAACCGATTGGGACACATTTTTTTTAAATTAATTGTTAAAGAATTTCATAAAAGACTGTGGAATTCGATTTTTAAGGAAGGCCCCCTGAAATATGCAATATCAATAACAATCTAGAAATTATGGTAATCAAAAGTTGAATTATTAGAATTAAAGTTACTCTTGCGCTAAACTATCTTACATAAGGGTTTTCAAAGTCGTTAAAAATCTGATGTTAGAATTAAGATTTTACTATTGGCAGCTGTTAATTTTGCTATCGACTTTATTAGTAATAATCCATACTAAAAAGCGCTACTTTTGTTTTTTAAAGTTGACAGCAAAATTAACAGTTGCCAATAGTAAAATCTTAATTCTAACATCAAATTTTTTTTTGTATTCAGCGACTCCGAAAACCAAATAGCTTAGCGCTGTAAAATAGCTTAGCGCAAAATCAACTTCAATTCTAATAATTTAACTTCTGATTACCATAATTTCCAAATTGTTAATATTGCTCATTTCAGAGGGGCCTTTCTTAAAAATCAAACTCCATAGTCTTTTTTGAAATTTTTGAACAATTAAAAAAAATTGTCTTGAACGGTTAAGAATTACAGTTTGTAGCGATTTTTGAATAGTAAATTTTCATTTTTTCCTGTTGTGCGGCATGGAACTTTGAGTTTTCTTTAACTTGACCGGCCTATCTGTTCGATTTCATGGTCGTTTGCTTTTAACGTCGCCAACGACGATTAACTTTTCGACTACTACATTTCGATACAAAAAACGAAAAGTTAGAAAATTGTCGGCTTTGCAATCAATTTGTGACATGTGCTGCGTATAAAAGTTTTAGATTTTGTACATATGTATGTAAAAAGTATTTACTACAACTTAACTACAACATCAATATCACACGCATAATATATAAATAAAAAGTTTTTAATAATAAAAGAACTAAAAAATAAAAATCTAATCTAATCTAGATAAAATCTAAATCTAATTTTAAGAACTCTATGTCATTTTTTCATGAAATCTACTAGTCTGTCGGTCCTTTTGTAAGTACAAATTAAACATCTTTTGTATGTTTTCATGCACATGTTTCCGCGACTTGACAGCTGTAGACACCACGTAGAATTAAAAGATGGCAAAAAAGATCTAAATTTTAAAAATTCTTTTTGTTTTTGACATAAACTCTGGCAAACAGACTAGTAGTAATGCGTAAACTTTAATTCTGAAAAGGATTTCCAAATCTATTAAAGTTTAATTATAGAGTCAATTACGTATATTGCATTGATATATGGAGTTTAATTATTACAAAAATATTATTGCTTTTTCGTCGATAAAACAAACAATTGCAGCATCGCCTTAAAAATAAGTAATCCGTGTGCACAAATTGGAAATAATATATATAATATATACATACTAGCGGTTACCCGGCATGTGTTGCAATGCTACTTAAAGGAAAGAAAGTGCTTGTGTTTTAACTCCGTTTATTGAAGTGCTTTTGGATACACAATATTTTTTGTTTTTTCATCTGATGCGTACA